TCCTCCTACCCCACGACGCTGCCTACATACACGGCACCCCATCCTGTTTCGCCCCCTGCACCTTCTGTCGTTAACCCATGGCGCACCTTGGATAATCGACCCATCTGTTTCGCATGCGGTTTCGTGGGACATATAGCACGCTACTGTCGCCGTCGCAAATTCCAGCCTCCCGTCCATGAGAATTCTGCAAATCACCAAGCTGCCCAGGATCCCCAGCGACCATCTTCCCCTATCACCGACTCATTGTCCCCACGACGCCCTGTAGATTCTCGCCGGTCATTACCATCCCGTCGCCGATCTGTCTCTCCGATGCTTCGGCGCACGAGCCCCGCTCGAGAGGAAAACTGACAGCCGCAGTTCCGGAGGCAAGAACTGCGTCGTCGTCGAACTTTCTAAGACCTCCTCTTTGTCCGACCAACGAAATTGATGTGCTAGTAGAAGGTGTTGCTGTACGTGCACTTGTCGACACAGGCGCCGTTGTTTCTGTAATTAGTGAAAAACTATGTCGCGATTTGAGAAAAGTTACAACGCCCCTTACGAATCTTGCTCTGCGTACAGCCACCTCCCATTTCATCGCGCCGACAGCTCAGTGCACAGCACGCGTTTTTATTCAAGATGTTTGGTACGCCGTCAACTTTGTTGTTCTCCCACGTTCATCATACGACGTCATACTAGGATTGGATTTCGTTTCTACCCATCAGGCCCTCGTCGACTGCGCTCGTGCTGAACTCACGTTGACGAATCCGTGCCTTGATATCGACCACCACAGTCCCTCGAATGTGTTTGCCGCAGCTGACGTCCGCATCGCTCCGTTGTCTGCCGTTCTAGTGCCTGTGTTTTCCCCTGCTGCCACTAACTCGACGCTCCTGTTCCAACCAACTATAGCTAGTGTGCAACACCGAACCATCGTCCTCCCGTTTGCCGTCATCAACTTTTACAATGGTTCGGCGGTACTTTATGCGTGCAACGTTTCTGCTTGCCCATACATCCTGCTACGCGGCGAGTGTCTGGGAAGCCTCGAGACCTTAAATTGTATTTTCGAAGACCTGATCTATCCAGACAAGCCATTTTTACCGACTTGTGCCATTACACCCGCAACTGACGCTAATGAACCTATGGATGTATTTCGCAGGTCCATTGACTGCAACTTCACGCCTGGGCAGCAGGAACAGCTTATCAAGCTCCTACAGCGTTTTGGGGCCTCGTTTGACCACAATCAGCCTTCCTTAGGTCGAGCGTCATCTGTTGTTCACCGTATAGATACCGGTCAAGAGACGCCATTACGGCAGCCTCCATATCGTGTGTCAACTACCGAACGCCGTGCCATCAATGAACAGGCTGACGACATGCTGACACGTGGCATAATCGAGCCGTCAAGCAGTCCCTGGGCCTCTCCAGTTGTGTTGGTGAAGAAGAAAGACGGATCAATCAGGTTTTGCGTGGACTACCGACGTCTCAACCGAATCACGCGCAAGGATGTCTATCCACTGCCACGCATTGACGATGCCTTGGACTGCCTACAGGGAGCGGACTTTTTCTCTTCTTTAGATCTGCGCTCTGGATACTGGCAGGTACCCATGGCAGAGGCCGATCACGAGAAAACAGCTTTCATCACGCCCGATGGGCTTTACGAATTCACAGTCATGCCCTTCGGCCTCTGCAACGCGCCAGCTACTTTCGAGCGAATGCTGCACTCTATCCTTCGAGGCCTCAAATGGAACGTTTGCCTTTGTTATTTAGATGACAGTGTCGTCTTTTCAACTGATTTCGCAACCCATTTAACCCGCCTCGAGAAAGTCCTCGCGTGTATTTCTGCCGCGGGGCTGCAACTGAATCTGAAGAAGTGCCATTTCGCCGCTCGAAAGCTTACGATTCTTGGCCACGTGGTTTCAAAAGACGGCATTCATCCTGACCCTGCCAAACTAACAGCCGTTTCAGCATTTCCCGAACCGACCACCATGAAAGAGCTTCGAAGCTTCATAGGCCTGTGCTCTTACTTCCGGCGCTTCGTCCGCAATTTCGCGACGATCATCGCTTCTTTGACCAAGCTCCTCGCCGGCTCTAGAGACCTTTCAGCCTGGTCTACCACCTGTGACGATTCCTTCAATGAACTGCGCCGCCTCCTTACGTCGCCGCCTATTCTGCGACACTACGACCCTTCGGCACCCACAGAGATCCACACCGACGCTAGTGGTGTCGTGCTAGGCGCTATTCTTGCACAGAAGAAAGACGGCTTCCAAGAGTACGTGGTTGCCTACGCAAGCCCAACTCTCAGCAAAGCCGAAATCAACTATTCCGTCACTGAAAAGGAATGCCTGGCCATTATTTGGGCGATAGAGAAATTTCGACCTTACTTGTACGGGCGCCCTTTTGACGTCGTGATTGACCACCACGCCCTCTGCTGGTTGTCGTCACTGAAGGATCCAAGCGGTAATATTGCTCCAAGAATATAATATTGGCGTGGTCTATCGCTCCGGCCGGAAACATTCGGACGCAGACGCCCTATCCCGTTCGCCCCTACCTCCTGACCCGGACTGCTGCGAAAGTCTAACCTGTGATGCCACTGCCGTCACCATCGCCGACATGCCATCTAAGCAAGGCAAGGACCCTTGGGTTGCTTCGATTCTAGACATTCTGGCTGGGCGGACGGCTTCCCCCCCTTCTCGCACGTCGTCAGCAAGTCGAGCACTTCGCCACTCGCGACGACGTGTTGTACCGACGCAACTACGCACCCGGTGGACGTCAGTGGCTACTCGTGATTCCACGTCATTTGCGATCCGAAATTTGTTCCACGTTTCATGACGACCCCGAATGTGGACACGCAGGTTTCCTGAAGACTTATTCTCGCATACGTCTCCGATATTACTGGCGTGGCATGTACCGTTTTATACGACAATACGTTCGGGCCTGCTCAACGTGCCAGAGATGAAAAACTCCCCCTTATCACGCCAGCGGTACCATGTTACCATTACCATGCCCATCCCAACCATTCGACCGCGTCGGCATCGATATCTATGATCCCCTTCCCAACACTGCTGACGGTAACCGCTGGATCATAGTTTCCGTCGACCATCTCACTCGGTATGCCGAAACTTCATTCCTTCCCTCGTCTACAGCAAAAGACGTTGTGACTTTCGTACTTCACAACATCGTATTACGTCATGGAGCACCTCAAGAGCTACTGAGCGATCGTGGTCGCGTATTCTTGTCAGACGTCATCACAGCATTGGTGCGTGAGTACCACGTCGTTCACCGCACTACAAGCGCCTATCATCCCCAGGTCAATGGAATGACAGAGCGCTTCAACCGCACCCTTGGTGACATGCTGTCTACGTATATCTCGTTCGACCACTCCAATTGGGACTGAGTGCTCCCGTTTATCACGTTCGCCTATAATGCCGCCATTCAAAGCACTACTGGGTTCTCTTCTTTTTTTCTCCTTTACAGACGCGAACCTTCTTGCACTATAGACACCATTCTTTCGTACAAACCTGACTCCTCAGAGTCCACGACTTTGTCTCAAGCCGCTACATACGCTGAAGAATGCCGCCAACTGGCAAGATCATTTACAACCCAAGACCAAGGACGCCAAAAGCACCACCATGACGCATCAAATAACACTACTTCCTACGATCCACGTTCACTCGTTTGGCTGCATGTCCCTTCTGCTACACCTGGCCTTTCTACCAAGTTGGTCCCCAAGTATCACGGCCCATATCGTGTGCTACAAAACACTTCACCAGTGAATTAGCTCATTGAGCCACTGGAATCATCTTCTGACCAACGTCGTCATGGCCAGGCAATTGTCCACGTCTCGAGACTTAAGCCCTGCTACGACCCTCCCGTGTTTACTTGTCCATAGGTCGCCAGGTTGGCTCCTTATTTCGCGGGGAGTAATTGTAATGAATTAATGAATCTGAATAACGGACGCTCTGCTGGCAATGAAGAAGAGGATGATGATCGGTGGCTGCAGGAGTAGCTCGCGCACGCCGCTCGCCATTAGCCAGACCTGCCTGATAAAGCACATTTTGCCAAGCTGCGTATGAACCTTTTTCGACGTACAACACCTCTATTATATATATATATATATATATATATATATATATATATATATATATATATATATATATATATATATATATATATATATATATATATATAACATTTGAAGGTCGTACGTTCGATTCCTGATCACGGTAGGTTATTTTTTGACCCACTTTTCTTTCTTCTTATTTACATTACGTTTGTTCTAATAACTTCCCCTATACATTCCTTGGCATTATTGTCTGTTAGATCTAAATATTATTGTGTCAAAACACGGAAAAACGAGCCCTTAGGTAGACACTTCTTTCCCTTATTCATTAACGAGGTTCTCGTAGTGGCAGACTTGGTGCCGCTAGATTGTATACGAGGGACCATTGGTCAGCTGCCCGATCGTAATAAGCTCACGTGCTACATGACGCCACACAGGCTCATAGAAGGGTGTTTAACACTCGCCACTTGGCTAAAGATGGCGCTGACTGACACTCCAACGTTTAAATTCACATATAAACCCAAAAAAGTGGGTGGGGGAAGGCCGCCGTGATAGCTCAGTGGTGCGAGCATCGTACGCGTTATTCGAAGGTCGGAGGTTCGATTCCTGCTCACGGTAGGTTATTTTTCACCCACTTTTCTTTGTTCTTATTTACATTGCATTTGTTTTAAGAACTTCTCCTATACATTCCTTGGCATTATTGTCTGTTAGATCCCATTACCATTATGTCAAAACACGGAAAAACGAGCCCTTAGGTATACACTTCCTTTATACACACACACACACACACACACACACATATATATATATATATATATATATATATATATATATATATATATATATATATATATATATATATATATATATATATATATATATATATATATATATATATATATATATATATTTGTGTGTGTGTGTGTGTGTGTGTGTGGACTGTAGAGAGACATTCCAGCGTTCTTACGATTTCCACGTTTGTGATGTTGATGTTTTGGGCGATCAGCGAATACCACCCGTCGTCGACTAGGTCGTCCTGCAACAGCACTCTCTTGTCCTTCGTGGCAATCGAGATGGCGAAGTTAGACACCGTGATCTCGAATACAACTTCCACGCCTTTCTTCTTGTACTCCTTGAACACGTGAACGTTTTTCTTGCTTTGGTAGTACCCGATCATTATCCTGCGAATATGCAAAAGGGCGTAACTGTGATGTTGTCCTGGTAACCTGAATTGCGTCTATTGTAAAGATATGTACACCAAATTTGCGGCACTCTGTGCAGGGACACCCGATTGCTTTTTGCGTAGAGCTTACCGCAATATTTGCTGGTGGGAACTGTGAGAGCTGTCTGGAGTGTCTGTGAAAGCGGCAATGCATGCCCCTTCAGCCACCATGGGAATGATGGGCGCTGAGTGGATTTGTATAAGCCTCGTTCTTTCGGCTCCATTTGGCACCGTGGGACCTGGAGCCGGTTTGTTGTTAGACGAAGTTCGCCAGTGGCGCGGCTCACGAAGTTCCAAACGATCCATTGCTTTATCCGAAAGGAACGCTAAAGCATATCAATAGAGAAGTAAAAAAAATGCAGGAAGGGAACAATGGGAACTTGTGAACCTCATGACTAGTTTTAGCCTTGAAAAAGACAGATCCGCTTGTCAAAACATCGGCTCAAGCATGCACAGCCTTTCCTTGTTTTCATAACAAACAACGCAACAAGCGCTTTTAACGTGATAGCGTTAAAGAGGTCATGTCGCAGAAATCCTGCCACCGGCGTCGGCCCCGTTGGTTGTGAGCGAAAAATTGTTTGTGCGTCTGTGTCCGAAAAATGAAGTTACCGAGATTACCGCGGGAGGCCGCTACTTATCCATGCGTGCGCGGGCGATCACACTGAAAAAGCCCCGCATTCGAAAAAAAAAAGTGCTCAAGCTCAGGAAGAGTGGTAGTTCCTGCGCCCCTGCCACCCCTTCCTGTCTAGCCTCCTGCTGAGCTTTCGTCGGGACGAGAGAAGAGATTACGCAATTGCAGCATGCGACAAACCTCTGTAACTCCACTCCACAGGATGGATTCTTAAATTTATGCGGTGTTGAATTCGTGAAGCAATAAGCTCTTCCAGTTAATTCATTCCATGGGTACTTGAAAAAGTGTTTCAGAGCCCCTTTAATGCATTTTGTTCGACACGTGTCACGACGAAAACGAGCCCATTCGGCGATAATAGCGCACGCTGGTACAATCTACGGTGTGCGCGTGCGTGCGTGTATGCGTATGTAACAAAACCTATTAGTAAGTATGCGCTTAGCGGTTGAAGAGCGCACTAGGGGCCGGATTTCACTATCGCGTTCAACTCTTAAAGGCGAAGCTTAAGGGTCCCACCATTTTTCGAAGCTGCAAGAATGAATATTAGAGAAATCCGTTTACTACCCATCAGTCACATGGCGGCCGAAAGATTGCACAGTCACAGTTCCCTATATATGCTGGGATACCATATGGCCTCTTATATCTATTATTTGTAAATACTCTGTAAATACTATTATTTGTAAACACGCCACGTGGTGCAATACCGGCGAAGACCTAGGTAGTGATCATAGAATTTTATAGATTATCATTGCCAATGGCCCGCTGGTGATCAATAAGAGAAAAGTTAAAACTACAGATTGGGTGACCTTTAGAAATATCAGGTCGGAACAAGTCCCCATAAATGATATTAACGATTAGAGTAAAGGGGTGATCCAGTCGGGTCAGCATGCTACCGAAGAGATTGATGCTGGCGATGAGGAAGTTGTTGATAGATATCTTGTAAGCATGTGGAAGAAAAAGAAAAACCTAGAGCGAAAAATCAGTCAGAAAAGAGGAGACAGGAATCTCCGAAAGGAAGTTGCTGAAGTGAATAGAGAGATCGAAGATTATGCATTGGAACTTACCAAGCAAAAGTGGGGTGGTATCTGTGATCAGGTGGATAGAGAGATTGGCAGTGCTAAAACATGGCAGCTACTACAGCATCTATTAGACCCAGAGAAACAAGTCGGAGGCCCGACAGCAACTTCAAAAGCTTGTGTATAAATATGAAGGTCAGACGACGGAATTATTAAAGGAGGTTAGGGATCGATACCTCTGCTGCGCAGAATTTCAAAAGCTGGTTCAGAAAACGCGGACCTAGACAGCCCCATCACGGTTGGAGAAGTCAGGGCTGAAATTAACCGACTTAAAGCAAAAACGGCTGCCGGTCCGGACAAAATCAACAACAGAATGCTCAGGAATCTCGACGACGGCTCCATTCGTCAACTTGCAGCTTATATGCAAGAATGCTGCGACAAGGGAGAAATACCGCAAGCTTGGAAAACGGCCATTGTAGTCTTCATTCCGAAGCCAGGGAAAAAGCTCAGTCTTGAACATCTCAGACCCATTTCCATCACATCTTGCGTAGGGAAATTGATGGAGCACGTCATCCAAACAAGACTGACTAGGTTCATGGAAGATGAAAACCTGTACCCTGATACTATGATAAGCTTCAGATCCCACCTATCGACGTGCGATATTATGCTACAGCTAAAGAAGGAGATAATAGACAAAAAAACTGTTGACACCAAAGTAATTGTGGGTCTGGACGTCTCCAAGGCGTTTGACAATGTCAAACATGAAGCCTTACTTAAGAACCTTAGTGCGCTAAACGTAGGCGTCAAGACATTCAACTACGTGAGGGGCTTTCTCTCAAATCGTACAGCCACTATCAGCATGAGAGGGCAGTTGCTCGAAAACATTAAATTGGGGAATAAAGGGACGCCACAATGGTCTGTACTCTCTCCAACTCTTTTTAATATAGCGATGATTGGACTTCCTGAGAAGTTGGAAGGAATCGAAAATCTGCATCACACAATATATGCAGACGATGTGACGCTGTGGATAAACAGGGGCAGTGACGGACATATTGAAAGCGCACTTCAGGCGGCTATAGATACCATCGAACAATATCTCGAACCGCTAGGGTTAAAATGCTCGGCAGAAAAATCAGAGGCTCTTTTTCTACCACCGAAAAAAAGGAAGACACACAATCCCCTCGGAAGAGGTTGTGACATCGCTTTACGAGTGAATAATAATGCTATTCCAACCGCAGACAGTATTAGAATTCTAGGGATGTGCATACAACAAATGGAAAAAAACACTAAAATAATCCGGAGACTCGAAGCTAGTGCGAACCAGACGTGCCGCCTGCTTAAGCGCATTTCTAACAAAAATGCGGGGATGAAGGAAGCCGATCTTTTAAGATTAGTTCAAGCTTTCGTGATAAGCCGTGTCGCCCCGCCGCGGTGGTCTAGTGGCTAAGGTACTCGGCTGCTGACCCGCAGGGCACGGGTTCGAATCCCGGCTGCGGCGGCTGCATTTCCAATGGAGGCGGAAATGTTGTAGGCCCGTGTGCTCAGATTTGGGTGCACGTTAAAGAACCCCAGGTGGTCTAAATTTCCGGAGCCCTCCACTACGGCGTCTCTCATAATCATATAGTGGTTTAGAGACGTTAAACCCCACATATCATCATCATAAGCCATGTACTATACGTTGCCCCTTATCTTAAATTAAGTAGAACAGAAAAAGATAAAATTGAAGCCATTATAAGGAAAGGCATCAAGACTGCGCTAGGGTTTCCCCCGAACACCTCTACGGTTAAACTTCTTGGGCTGGGTGTCTCCAACACTTTAGATGAACTAATAGAAACCGCCATGATGTCGCAGCACCAAAGACTTTTGAGAAGTAGAACAGGGAGGAAAATCATGGAGCGCTTGGGGTTCGAGCCCACGGAGTGTTCCAGGCAGACCGCTGGCATACCTGAATCAACTAGGGCAAGGCTGAAAATTATACCGCTGCCGAAAACATGCATCCGGCGTTTCATGAAGGCAGACGCAAAGCTAGAGGCTGTAGCCCTGCAGGCGAAACTTGAAGGTCGATCTGGCGTGCTTTACACGGACGCTGCAGAATACGAAAGAAAGGGAGCACACACAGCGGTAGTGGTTCGCGAGAACGGGGACCGGGTCTCGTGCTGCACCTCTAAGAACACAACCACCACAGAGGCAGAAGAACTTGTGATTGCTTTGGCAATAGCTCAAAAAGGCACACGAGTGATTGTTAGCGACTCTAAGTCAGCCATTAAAAACTACGATATGGGCAGGATCTCTGCTACAGCCGCCAAAATTCTAAGACAAAGACCAGTACCCGCAGAGCTAATCTCACTACTATGGTCCCCGGCCCATCAAGGTCTGAAGGGGAATGAGAAGGCGCACGCGATCGCCCGAGGGCTCACTTTCCGATCGATCGACGCTGACCCGCCGCCTTCGCGCTTGCAGCCCCTCTCCACAAGAGACGAACTACGAACGTTTCAGGAAATCACCGCACACTATAAACTCCACCGTAAGATTTATCCAGAGGCAGCTAAACAGCTGAGCAAAAAGGAGGAAATTATGTGGCGAAAATTGCAAACCGGGGTGTTTCCAAACCCTCACCTGTACAGTAAATGGCAACCGGAAGTGTTCAACTCCAGATGTGCGCACTGCAACAGCACTGCGGGTTTAGTGCCCATGGTATGGACCTGCCCATCCTACAATGATCCAAGTAGAAACGTAGAATCCTGGGAGGCCTTTTTACACAGCCGTGACGCTGAAGAACAGCGTCAAGTCATTGGTCTCGCCGTGACCGCCACCGAGTCCCAAGGGGGAATATTCCGGCCGATGGCTAGGGGGATGATTGGGGGCAGAGGCCGAAGCCTCCTCCCCCGTCATTCTAGACGGGTGCAATAAACGTTATTTCTCTCTCTCCCTCTTGTAAATACTCCTCCTCCTGCGTCCGTTGCAACGCAATGAAGCTTAGAACTAGTATGAATGCGTCGACACTTGACACTTGCATATTCCTAGGTACCTTTTCGTTCTCGTCTCAACATGTACATAGTTTCAATTGTGACGCCTCTCATGGCTTGTACCGTGTGGTCATCTTCCTCTTTGGTAGGTGCTGGCGCTGCGTTGCTCGAATGCATTTCTCCCTCAAGCACCTTACTCTGCTAACCTCTTCTGTATGTTCAAAGTTGAATGTGCACGAAATACCTTCGAACTATGTCACCCTTGCTAATTTCTCCGGCTGGATAGTTCTTTTAAACTCTCTTTCAGGCTTTTTAGATTTATTTCATGGTCTCGTATTGCCGCGGTCTTGTTTAAATTGGTAATGAAGATATCACCGCAATGATGAAGCAACAAAGTGTAATGTCAACCTTCTAGTCATGTTCGTGCGAGGACATGGAGCAAGACAAAAGTGAAAAGTCTCGGGAGTTCTATGACCGACAGGGCCACTCACGCGATAACATTAGGGCACGCACACAGGCTCCCTTGAATACATGCTTTAAGCGAAGAGTTTTTTCTTGAAGGCTTCCTATTGCATTGACTTTTCGCTTTCGCAAAGGCAAAGGGAGCGCGCAGCTTGCGGCTCGAGCTACATCTTCATTACTCATGTCTCTTTTTCTACGATTCTTACTGCAGTCAAGTAAGGGGTATTTTTCTACTCATGAGACGTGCATGTAAAAAGACCCGCCTTGATATATAGCTGCCGAAAAGACGCGGCTGTGGTGGTGGTGGTCGAACATTTAATAGTCATTAAATGGATGGTTACAGAGACGTGACTGGGTTGAGGTCATATGGAAGACCTCCTTCCAGAGCACCGGGTGGAAACCCTATTCCGGAGCTCCATTGGCAAGCAACGCTGCTGACGTCCGTTGAACAGGGACCTTTTGGGCCTTCAGGTCCGGACAGCTGAGCAGGGCCACCTCCCAGTATTCTCTCGTGAGGTTGGGTTTGTGGGGGATAGGTAGATGTGATTGGCATGCGCAGGCTATGTGGAGGGCGTCAGCCGCCTCTCCACAGAACTAAGATTACCCGTCAGTGGAACGGGCTTAACTCGATTGTTTTTTTAGCAACCACGCCCTGAACACGCGGCGTCGTCTGCTCCAAGTTTGGGATGAGGAAGGGGCGCACGCCATGAATGTTGCGCCTCTTCGCACTTCCTCTTGAGCAAGTGCAGGCCGGCAGAGAACTGGCGCAACACTACGCTTGTGCCTAGACAAAAGAAAAAAAAAGGGAGGGCAGTGAGAGAGGTGCGCGGCACCAGAAAATCGAGTAGGAAGATGGTGCACCCGTTGAACTGGCGTCGTCGTTGCTGCTAAATGGAAGAGACCTTAAATTGAACGTGACCGCCCACCTGAGGTCTCTGGAAGGTTGGTGCGCATTCCTTGCATCGCTTTTCGAACATCTCCACACGTTCATACGCACGTTCAGAGTGGTCAAGTTTGTTTAAGAGCCCTGCTGTCGTAGATTTCGTCCGCCTATAGTTTCTTTATACACAGGGAATGTGTTGGCGGGTTCAATATGCCGACGTTGTCAAGAGCGCCATGACGTCATGATTCACCGTTTTTTTTTGTTCTTGCGTAACGGAACGTGCTCTAACGAAGCGGACGTGCATGCCCACGAATCGTTCACCACGAGAATCGTGCACCTGTCTTGCGTAGGCAGGTAAGCAATCTGGCCAGTCACTCATTGTTTTCATTGTTCCAACCAGCTTAACTATGCCATGCCTCGCAGCAAGTTGGTCGAACCTGAAAACGTACAACACTGAAATACTAATTACTTCCACCGAATATATTTGTCCTCGTTTTCTGCATTTCGATTCGGTGCACACATGCGTCGTTCTCTGGTAATCGTAGCACCAACAGGACGGTGTGGCGAGAAGGTTTTTCCTACAACTAAATCCACCTCGACCTCCTAAAGCGCACCGCCCATCCTTGGCGATGAGAATCGACGACGCCCTTGAAATCAAGTTTGTTTTGCACCGCAAGGTGCGCTAAAGAGCAGTTACGAATGTACAAGATATATGCGCTCTTCGCCAGCGCATCGAAAAATGCCGAGCAAGTGTGGTAATCAATAGCGACTGCAAACGATCACTGCGCGCGGTCCTACGTTAAGACAGTTGGCCAATAGCGACGCGACGTCAGTCTCTGAGAGAGTGCAGGATAGAGAAAAAATAATAGGCGCGATTTCTTTAAAGTACGTCGCAAGTTTACGAAGTTTCATGTATTCAAAGTAGCGCAGGCTATGTAGAGCAATGTATTGATTGATTTGTGGGGTTTAACATCCCAAAACCAACATGTGATTATAAGAGACGCCGTAGTGGAGGGCTCTGGAAATTTCGTCCACCTGGGGTTCTTTAACGTGCACCCAAATCTAAGCACGCCGGCCTACAACATTTCCGCCTTCATCGGAAATGCAGCCGCCACAGCCAGGATTCGATCCCGCGATTTGCGGGTCGGCAGCCGAGTACCTTAGCCACTAGACCACCATGGCGTGGCTATGTAGAGGACAACAAGGAGCCGACAGTTACAACGTTTGCGCTGCTCTGGTTTGCCCTACTTTCACAATTAATGAACCGTATAAAGTAGCCTAGCTATCGACGTTGCTACAATACAAGTTTCAGGGTCTTTAGTTTCCCACCAAAGAGGGAGAGGGGAGCTGTATGGCGTATGTATACACCGTGTTAGCTCTGTGTTAGTTTTATATTGACATTTGTCTATGTAAACCTACGCAACTGACGTAAAACTAGCCGCATTTGTCGTGTACAGCTATTTAATCTTGCTTTCTTCTAGTTTTATCCCCTGCTATTGAATATTTTCGTGACTAATTTTATCAGTAGTTTTCACAACGTGCTGTGTAATAATTGTATTGTTACTGTTAATTAGGCTCGTTGTTCATTGCTCAGAAATTCGCAACTTTTGCTGTATCTTTTTTTGTAATTAGTACCCTGTTCATGTTGCCATGAAAAATCCCCCTGTCAGTTTCTCTGGAACTTTGGGACCTCCTACTGTACTATTCAAACCATGTAACCGAAATAATAGCGAAAGTTGGGCTAGTTGGTGGTTCATACCTGGGAAGTAAAAATGGCGCAAAAATATAGACAAGGACAGAGGAAGACAGCGCGGAGTCGTCTCTTCCTCTCTCCTTGTCTATATTTTTGCGCTGTTTTTACTTCCCAAGCATGTAACTGAATCTGAAATATGTAAAAAAAACTTGACTTGACTTGACTGGACAATGTATAAATCTATGCCTGTGACCTACTGTATGCACGGTGACCTACTTGCAACCGTGCCAACACTTACGGTACGCGGCGCGCTTGTACGAAGGGACAGCGTTACAGAGGCATATGTGTACAAACAAAGCATAAATGTATGCACTCACTGAACGCCCCATTAAGTGTCATCGTCTTACGAGCGACAGGTTTCGTGAATTATCTCCTCCCCTCTTCGATACACTCTCAATAAAAGCAGAGAAGCACAAGGTTTCGTGGATTATCTCCTCCCCTCTTCGATACACTCTCAATAAAAGCAGAGAAGCACAAAACAACTGTGTAGAGCGAAGAAGCACTGACCGCGTACCACTATGTACACTCATTCACGAAAAAGTTCTTGCGAACAGCACTGTTCGAGAACAACGCCTCAAACTCACCCGTCTGTAGCCGGATCGGCCGCAATATATGATCCAATAATTACCGCCCATCCTCCAGCGCTGATATCACATAGCCGAAGATAACGTGGGTCATTGACGTTGATCATTGGCTGTAACAAGAGAGACGTAATGTTCATTCGCACAACTGATGACCGACAACGTAAGTTCACGCTATGTAAAACGAATACTGTTGTATGATAAAAGTGCAATGCAAAAACCAATAGGCTTACAAAAGGAAGTGATGCATTCTAAATTTAGAAAATAATTGGAACAGTGCTGAATGGTAAAGAACTGAATAAATACAGAAAAACTAACGCCTTTTTTTAAGAAACCCTGCTGGGATGCGAAACAGGAGCGTTGCTCGCGGGTAGCGTCACGGGTTGAACAGCGCTGACGCGGGTGCTGCGGTGAGCTCTGGAAGATTCGTTTGAAGCGATGGCTGGCGTGGGTCTTGCAGGTGACACGTACAAACACGTTTCAACGCGTACGTTAGGCGCGCGTTAAGTTTATTGTACATGTACCGACGAGTCGGCGGTGTAGCGAGCGGCGGTCGCGGCAGGTGTTGCGGGCGAACGGACGAGGTGGCAGCTGTGGGCAGCGCAGCGAGCGAGCGGCAAACCAGAAAGGCAGTGACGTCAACGAGCAGCAGTGGCGTGGCCTGCTTGCCATTGTGCTAACCGGGCCAAGACCTATGGCGCGCGGCGCCTTCGTACGGAGGGACAGCGTTACAGAGGCTGCTCTAAGAGCTGTTTTGCATCTAAAAGAATACAGAATAATACATCAAACAAAGTGTGTTCCCAATGCACGATTGTGCCAGTAGAACAGACTGCCGAATTAACCTGATCATAGATATCCCGATTATATATATATATATATATATATATATATATATATATATATATATATATATATATATATATATATATATATATATATATATATATATATATATATATATATATATATATATATATATATATATATATATATATATATATATATATATATATATATATATATATATATATATATATATATATATATATATATATATATATATATATATATATATATATATATACGTTATATTTCTCAAGTTTTCTAATCGCCCCAAAACACTACACAATTCTCAGCACAAAACGCGCGTGGAGTTTTCGAGAAGCCTCCGGACTTTAGTAGATCATTTCGATAAGATCACGCCCACTCTGCAAACTGTACAGATTATTTGGAACCTATGCCACCACCAGCGATAACGCTAGAACATTCGATGGCAAGAATATAAATGCCGACGCACTTCGCCGCTTTTCAGTAGTTGATCGACGGCCGACGCTCCGTTCGTCGCTATCAGTCCAAGACTGCTACTGTAATCGGACTTTCCGTTTACCGGGCACAGGTTCACCCAAATAAACAGTTAAATTCCAACGCAAAGTGTCCTGTCTTCGGCCACGTCACGACCCCGTGACAATATATATATATATATATATATATATATATATATATATATATATATATATATATATATATATATATATATATATATATATATATATATATATTGTTAAGGTTACCGTGGAGCGCATTTTGAAGCTTGACTGTAGCTACAAACCACGTTAAAAGCATCTCTTTGGCAATGTCCCAAACTTGAGGCACTGAAGCCTAGTGCAATTTTTGCACTTAGGTTTTGTCCAATATTTGAATGCGGAGCAATAAGCAGTATTATTCTAATATATGCATAAGGGTGATGTGTCAGAACAATGACGTTGAATGTTTTCTATAATCCTGCAGAATTGCCAGACGGGCGATATCGGGACTGAATTTTCTCTTTTTTTTTCTTTTTCTCTCTCTTTATTGTATCTTTTTTTTGCACCTGCTGGTTCCCATTTTTTTCTTTCTGTCTATTCTTTTCTTGCACCGTATGTCTCTAATTCGCGTTCTATAAGTACCATATTTAAATACCATATTTATTTCTCTTTCCTGCCTTCGCGTCTCCTCGTCTCTCTCCGCTTCTTTCTCTTTGTTTCTCTTCCTACTTTGCTCTCTGCTTCCTTGTAACTCTTCCATTGTGTTCCACTGCCTTTCTACCTATTTCCTCATCTCTACTTTTTTTCTCTCTCTCTCTCTTCATTTCTTTTTATTTATTCTTACTTTTCTTTGAGTCTTGCTTTTTCGCTTTCCCACCTCCCTTTCATGTCTGTGTCTTTTTTTCCTCTATCTTTCTAAGTCTTTACTTTCTTCATTTCTTTCTATTTCCTCTTTCTTTCTATTGCCTTTTTTCTCTCTCCGTCTTTATCTTTCCACCTTTCTCGTTCTCGTGTTTCACGAGCTCCCTCCACTTCATGGAGAAAAGTCTTCATTTGACGCTCGCAGCTGCTGTACCCGGTAGCGGTGCTTGCCTGATTCCTACGGCGAATACTAACCTGCAGGTCTTCTGCGGACACCGAGGTTTTCACGGTCAGTTATACTGCTCGTTTGATTCCGTGCGGACCGGTTGTGCCCTCTCTATCTCCAACGTTAGCGTAGCTCTGACCGACTGGGCTGGCCCTACGTCATCTCCTGACGCCGATCTCCGACGACAGCGTAGCTCTGACCTACTGGACTTGCTCTACGCCATCTCCTGACGCCGACAAGAGCTCTCGCAAGTGGTGTCCCGTCCTCGGACTGCTGTGACCGCCTTTCCATCTTTCCTATCTCTCCTATCCTTTCATATGTCCTCGCTCGCTGTCCCAGCGCATCTCTCTCTCTCTCTGTGTGTATACCTTTAATCCTATTCTTTTAATCCTTCCTCACCACATTTCTTGTGAGCTACTGTTGAGGTGTCTCACCCTGATGCAGAAAGTTACGGGGCTCACCTTTTTCTTCTTTTCCCTTTTATAACCCCCCCTACGCGTGCACATTTTGGATGGCGTCCCTGCCCCACAGTGCCTATACTGTAGCGATTCTAGGCACTATACCTATACTGTATCCGTCGTAATCATCTGGAATCAGCCAAGCACTATCAACTCGTGCGAGAAGCAAGAGGTGCGAACATGCGCAGCTGCCCACTTTGTTGATGCCGTCACTGCTGATGATGACAAACATATTTGAGCGCTTCGTAAGAGGCGGGCCTCCAATCAGCTCACTCATTGTGCAATTCACGTATACTTCTGGTGTGATACTATACGCACGCAGTGTGATATGTGTTCGGGAGATTCCTCACATTACATGGCATCATAATGTTTGTTTCTATACCACGACAGCGTTTTATGCCCGGGGTCCACCAAGATTTCAGTGACGTATTTACGTCGCGCAAATGACGTCGAAAAAATACGCTCTATCAGAAGACAAACAGTTTCGTCCATGGGATTCAAACCAATGAACTCTGGGTCCACGACAACAGATACCAGGAACGCTACCCACAGCGCCACACACATTGTGTGGATTAAAATATACGCCTGTAATATCTACCACTTTCCTCTCGCAGCGTTCTCGATAAAGTGCAGTGATGCACCAAGACCGCGGCATGAGCCATTTGTTCCTTAAACACGTCATTTCTAGGCGTCCGTCAATTTCGGCGCATTTCAAATAGGAGGAGTGCAATTTTGTCAACGCCTTAACATGCGCCCAAGTGGCGACCTTACCCCAGGCGTCGCTCATAGCATGTATAGATAGAGTGACCGAGATCCATGGACGTCAAACTCTGGAGTTTTGCGGACATGCAACGCCACCTGTCGACACAGTTTTGAGCAGTGCAAAGCCCGACTCCCTTGCACAGTTTGCTGCGTAACCAGGTACAACTGCGCAACCAGGTAGAAACAATGATTGAGATAAATATTAGTTGTAATTACGCATTCAACACTCAGAAAAAGAGCTACGAATTTCTTTCCGGTAGTCGGTCGCAACACCAAACCGCCGTGAAGTGCTTGCTGGTTCACTCGCCCTAACGACTGCGAAAACAAGAGCAGACGCAATACCTCCACGCTCTACGAAAAAAGACCCTAGTGTGCGCTACTGTTGCGTTGTGAATTGCCACTGACGTAAACGACTTCTGTCTTACTGATTTCCCCAGCATTCGCTACGCATAATGGCGAGAGCGCTAAATACAGGCCGTTGCGAACGTGTTGGGTATGGGAATACTCGCGTTCTCCACAGCCGTTCGCTTGAGTAAGTGTGATAATGTAGGCCTCCTGTTATTGTTTTGAGTAGCCTTGACGGAGAACCGTGGTAACTTTGATTATGAAGCTGAACATACCCCCTGACTACGGTGCGTGACGTGCAACAGTAGACAGGTGACACCCGCGATAAACATGGCACACGCCGCGATCACCGATAATATGGAGTTGTCGTCACCACACAGCATTACGCACGTACGGTCAGAAAACAGCTACCACTTAGGGCTTTGAAGGCTCTATAGGTCCCAGCTTTAACTAGGAAATGCGAACACGTGCGTCACTACAGGTAAATGGCAAAATTATCGCGACCACGATCAGGTTTTTTTTTTTTTTGCCGTTGGTCTTTGCGGTTTCCGGAGCTATCTCGGAGGCATCCGTTTTGCCTTCCGTTGTACACTGAGAAGGTGGACAATCATGTATTCTCTTTTGCAGTATATACAAACAGAAGACAACCGTCAACAGAACATTCGAGATGCGTAATGAAACAGTTAAATATGATGATTTGATCGATATGTGGGGTTTAACGTCCCAACACCACCATATTATTACGGGAGACGCCGTAGTGGAGGGCTCCGGAAATTTCGACCACCTGCGGCTCTTTAACGTGCGCCCAAACCTGAGCACAAGGGGCCTACAGCGTTTCCGCCTGCATCGAAAATGCAGCCGCCACAGTCGGGATTCGATCCCGCAAACTGCAGGTCAGCAGCCGAAACAGTTAAATATGCACAGGAAGCGAGAAATCAATAGAGAATGCAACTGCAAAGTGAAAATCACCGGGGCCATTCGTGCCGGGTAAAGCGAGCTTCGTACGACTGCTCGCATAGATTGCTCGTGCATGCACTTCATCGCTCTGGCATCATGTGTATGCCCAAGTTTAACAAATTCATTTAGGCGTTGCACTCTCAATCAGGTCCCGCTTAAATTGCTATATATAGTCAGGAAACAGGACATTTTGCGTCTATAGTCTCCTAGATATAGCCAGCATTTAACCAGGACCTGATTTAGAGCGCACAGAAAGCACGTTGCAGTGCTTGCCTCCAACTCGATGTCAACCGATGCTCGCTTGCATGCACTTAAATTGCCAGTTGCGGAATGCCGAAATAAATGAAACATCTTTTGCATTGAGCCCGCATTTCGTTTGATGAGATTCCCTGTTTTCATCGCGCTAATATTCGTTTAAGATGGGAGATCAACCATGTTTTGTTCTTTTGAAAGAAAACCATTACAAGCACTGCAGTCGCTATGTGGTAGAGCTCATGCTTGCCTCGCACAAGGCTTGCATACGATTCAAAGTGGAATCAGTTTTTATATACTCGAATGTATCTCAAATTTTCGCTCACAACGCTAATTTTCTGCTCAGTACCTATAGGCATCGCAATTTCTGCAAAACGCGCACGTTAACGCTAGATCATTAGTATGTAAGTGCAAAAAAAAATGCTGGTAAGTTTATTCTAAGTCGTGCAACGCTATAGGGACAGCGACGCTGGCTGATAATCAAGCATTTATGCTAACGCCGGCTGCTGCTGCTACGCTGTAACCCGCGATGCATGACCTTTGACCGAAAGACGATGTCGTGCAACGACGTCATCATGTAAGGTCACGATGACATCGCATCTTCCGCAGATCCGGATTTGACGTCACTGGTGGTGTCACGTTACAGTTCGTTCATCCGACGCGAGGACGCAATCGCGCATTCACTCGAGAATGGCGTGTCTTTCGACTTTTTGTTACTCTTTTTTTGCGTCATTCGTGTTGATGACGACGACGGCATTGCAATGTACCAACAGGTCTCGCGAAATATCGAACACATCCTCCGACGGTTACCTGCCGTGTCTGATGTAGCTTCGAAGCCTTTCGCCATATATATAAATACAACCCGTTGCCGAGGAATGAAGGACATCAATCATACAAGAGTCAACTTACGAGTTTTGGGTTTCTTGGCATGGCTTCGGTGATTCCACTGTACACAAAGTGATGCTCCAGTATCACAACCCTGTCAGTAGAATCCTCATAGTTGAACACATATTTCCCAAGCTCCTTCACCCCGGGACTGAAGTAGAAACACTGATCTATTGAAGTCTGGGTTCCTCCGTTCCCAATGAACTGAAAAAGTCAGAGTTTCGCCACAAGTACGATGCAATGAATGCCATAGAAACCAACCAGATTGTAACACGAAGAACTATTATTAATAGTCATCATCATATTTATGATCATTATCATCACCACCATCAACCTGGCTACGTCCGCTGCAGGACAAAGGCCTCTCCCACGTCCCGCCAGGCAACTTGGTCCTGTGCTTTCTGCTGCCATTTTATGCCCGCAAACATCTTAATCTCATCGGCCCACTAACTTTCTGTCTCCGCCTAACCCACTTGCCTTGTCTGGGAATCTAGTCAGTTATCCTAAATGACCAGCGGTTATCCTGCCTGCGCGCTGCATACCCTGCCCAGGTCCATTTGCTCTTCTTGATTTCAACTATGATATCCTTAACCCCGGTTTGTTCCCTGATCCAATCTGCCCTCTTCTTGTCTCCTAAGGTTAGACCTATAATTTTCCTTTCCATCACTCGCTGCATCGTCCTCCCAACCCCCCACGTGAATAATAATAGTATTTGAGGTGTAACGTCCCAAAACCACCAAATGAACAATAATGACGCCGTAGTAGAGGACTCCGCCAATTTTGACCACGTCGGGTTCTTCAACGAGTTTCGACACTTGCAGCGCACTGCACAAACACGAGGAATGAAACTCGAAGAGAACGCAAACGTATAACAAAGGACGAGCGCGAACTAACAACAATTAGAGTTCTCTCTCTCCTTTGTATGTCTCTCCTTTGTACACAGGCCTCAAACATTATCGCTTCCATCGAAAATGCGGCCGCCCCGGCAGCGATCGGACCCCGCGAATTCGGGGTCAGCAAACAAGTGCCATAACCACTAAAACCCCGTGGCGGGTCACACGAAGAACTACCGGCAGCTTGACACTTGTAGCGCGTCGCCGAAGCGCAGAGCACGCGCGAGAACACACACGCACCGAAAGCGAAGTAACAACGGTTACACTCCGACACTTGCAGCGCACTGCACAAACACGAGGAATGAAACTCGAAGAGAACGCACACGTATACAAAGGACGAGCGCGAACTAACAACAATTAGGGTTCTCTCTGTCCTTTGTATTTCAGCAGCGCGCTGCAACCCTCCATCCTGATTATGTAAAATGACCATAGTCTTTCTTGGGATACTTGAACGCAGAAATTTTGGTCCGTCCGTCCGTCCATCCGTCTGTCTGTCCGTCTGTCCATCTGTCCGTTCATCCGTCACATAATGCAATCACCCGGCCAAAGTGTAAGTCCTTGCTGAACAACCAGCCATTTTGAACTGGTGGCTGCGTTCGTACTTGTAGACATTGTCGATCAAAAAGCATATATTTCATATCTGAGGCGCTGAATTGATACGTATTAGCTGCTGTGTTCCTTCACTGGAAAATACATAGATACGTAATTCTAAGGACCATAAGGATACTAAGGTGTGGGTTAAAAATGTTCTCGACATCTCCGCATGGCCACGCGATAGCGTTAAGAACGCGGTGCCAAGTCACGATCTTGTTCTTGTCACGATCTCCGAGTACTCGGCGCCGCCCCTTCATTCTGCTGGTCATCGCTCGCTTGTCCAAATCCTGGTAAATCGTCGCGGGGTCATGACGTTGGCGAAGGCAGGAGACTGGATGCTAAAATCAAACTGTTTATTTGGGCGAACTACTGCTCGGTAAATGGAAAGTTCGTATTACAGCCGCAGACTTGCACTGATAGCTGCGGCCGGAGCGTCGGCCGTCGATTAACTAGAAGCGGTGAAGCGCGTCGGCATTCATAAAGGTGTCGTCGAATATTCTAGCGTTTTCGCCAGTGGCCACGTAGGTTCTAGAACTGATTAATTGATATATGGCGTTTAACCTCCCGAATCCACCATATGATTATGAAAGACGCCGTAGTGGTGGGCTCCGGAAACTTCGACCACGTGGGTTTTTTTAACGTGCACCCAATTCTGAGCACGCAAGCCTATAGCATTTCCACCTCGCCCCGCCGCGGTGGTCTCGGCTACTGCTGACCTGCACTCGGCTGCTGACCCGCAGGTCACGGATTCGAATCCCGATTTCGGCGGCTGCATTTTCGATGGAGGCGTAAAGGCTGTACGCCCGTGTGCTCAGATTTGGGAGCACCTTAAAGAACCCCGGGTGTTGAAAATTTCCGGAGCCCTCCACTACAGCGTCTTTCAAAATCATAGCATGGTTTAGGGACGTTAAACCCCACAAATCAATCAATCATCATTTCCGGCTCCATCAGAAATGCAGCCGCCGCAGCTGGGATTCGATCTCGCGACCTGCGGGTCAGCAGCCGAGTACTAGGTTCTAGAAGAATCTGCAATGTTCGCGAAGTGGGCTTGATCTTAACGAAATGATCTACGACAGTCCCGAAGCTTCCCGAATCCTGCAGGCACGGTTAGCGCTGAGAATTATACGTGCAGGGAGGCGGTAAGAAAGCTTGAGGATGGTACGTGGCATTAACCCCCTCTGAAAAAGATGTCGTCCCGATGCTTAAATAAAAAAAAAAACGACAGATCCCATGTATTTATTCATTTATTTACATAAATAAATAACGTCGATTTTACCTGGCAATCGACGTTATGCGAAGCATGCGGAGGGAAAGGGATCGTGTTGCAATTTTTTTATTGGTGACACGTCAGGAAATGACGCTCAATATATATACAAAGGTTGCACGCACAGACACATGTTAAAGAGTTGCAGATGTTATATAACCAGTTGTTTGCACTTGCGCAACGATGCCAACAGGAACGTGCGTATTAGCAACGCCAGGAGCTGATATGAAGCGAGAATGATGGTCCTGGACACTGCTCCATGAATCAACTTCGACGCATGGCACCTAACTACAATCGACGTTAACCCGACGTGACGGCTGTATCAAATGAGTACACATATAATGTTTATGAAATTGGGTAGGCAGCATTGCAACCACAATTGTCGTTTCACGAAGATTAACGTCTATTTAAAAAGTATTTCCGAGACCTGGCGTAGCTCTGTGTTAGAATTCTCGACTGCCATGCAGAATGTGTGGGTTCGAATCCTGCTGGGACCCTGAAATTTATTATTTGCATTCGTCGGGGATCAACGCTGCATATGTCAGGTTTTTTTTTTTACACTGACATTCTATGCGAATTCGTTGGGTCGACGCTACTGATGTCGGGTATTGCTTAACGCTCGCATGTTAAAATTGCCCATGCGTGTTCTCGTCGTTCCTGAGCAGACACTAAGTGTAAATCACCTGTGGCACATATCAGCGGCACATACCCGCCCGTGGGTATGTGCCACGCTCTGGCGGGAAGTGTTTGACGACGTACGCGACGGGATTGTGACAATAATTCATGTCTTGACGAGTGCGTCATAGTTGTCAAACCATCTCACCCTCCCATGCTAATTTTGGTTCACGCCAAGTTAAGGGGGTGACCACGTTAGCGCCCAAACGTAAGCGGCTAGATAGATAGATAGCTAGATAGATAGATAGATTGATACGCTCAAAGTCACCGAAGTTCGCTAAGAAATGCTTCGCATTTAATACGGGAGAGATAGACGCATAGAACAAAAAATAACAATTAGGCAAGGAAGTACAACAAATAGGTACAAGCAATAAAGCGCAATTTTAGAGAAACAACTACTAATACAGTCAATAGGTTTGTTAACGTGCATGAAATGTTTTGAGGCGCACGAAGTGGACGACTTCAGGTCGTGCACGGCGTCGTTGACAGTTCGTGATGCAGTCGGGGACAACCTCGTTGTCGAGTGCGCGAGACGTCGAACTACCCTCTATGGTCCGAAGTACCGTCGCAGAAGTTTTTCACTCAGTCTTCGTCGGCGTATCGGCGTCCAAACCCAAACACGGTCACCAGGCTGGTATTCTACGAAGCTTCGTCGAAGATTGTAACGGCGGCTCTCGGTCGTCTGCCAATTGTTGATGCGCAGGTGGGCGAGTTGAGCTCCTTCAGCGCGCTGAAAGTAAATGGTGATGTCAACGTTTGGTTCATCAGCGACGCTTGGGAACATGGCGTCGAGCGTCGTTGCCGGGTTCCTTCCGTAGACCCACTTGCACGGCGACATCTGTGTCATCTCCTGCACCGCCATTGTTGTATGCGAAGGCCACGTACAGAAGGATGGCATACCACGTCTTGTGTTTGACGTCGACGTACATGGGCAACATGTCGGCGATGGTCTTATTTAGCCGTTCGGTGAGGCCATAGGTCTGGTGGTACGCTGCCGCCGTCCGGCCGTGGCTTGTCTGGCTGTATACTAAGATCGCCTGAGTTAGGTCAGCAGTAAATGCCGTTCCTCTGTCGGTATTGAGGACCTTCGGGGCGCCGTGGAATAGGACGATGTTTTCGACATATGTTCGTTTTGGGACGTTAAGCCCCCCATAGCAATCAATGTTTTCGACGAAGAGCTTAGCTACCTCGGGTGCACTGCCTTTCGGCAGGGCTTTTGTCTAGTAGTGGTTAAGGTAGTCGGTAGCTAGGACGATCTACTTGTTTTCGACAGCCGATGTCGGCAACGACCCCAGTAAGTTCATACCGATCTGCTAAGGATACGTAATTTTAAAGTGATTCATAGGCTGCAGAAGTCCCGCTGGCCTAGTCGGCGGTGTCTTGCGTCGCTGGCAGTCCCTGCATGTGCTCACGTACCGGGTGACGTCAACGGTAAGACGTGGCCAGTAGTACCTGTCTTGTATTTTCGCGAGCGTGTGGGAAACATCGAGGTGTTCTGCCATCGGATCGTCGTGCAGGGCCTCGAGGAGTTCTGGTCGCACAGCTGAAGGCACCACAAAAAGGTACTTGGCTCGAAGCGGGGAGAAGTTCGTTTTTTTGGAGAAGGTCGTTTCGCAGCAAGAACGACGCAAGTGCGTGCTTGAATACCTTCCGAACAGCGGCGATCCTGCCCTCGAAGTATTCTAATTAGGCCCCTAAGTTCCGGGTTGGCTCGGTGTCGTTTAGTTAACTCGTCGGCAGTTATCGTTCCCAAGAAGTAAATCCAATAGCATCAGGTA